AGTAACATCGGTATAACATCGTCAATTAGTTTTAAGCTTTAGTTCTGTTTGTAAGCATGGATCCAGCTATTAAAAGCGAGTGGAGGCAAATCATTAATTTTAACTTATGTCTTAGATACAAAAAGCTCATTTTATCTTTTATTGGTTCTGGATCTATAAAGGAACACCTGCTGAATTAATTCTGAGGGAATGAGGTTTTCAGTTTAAAAAAACCCAAACCACAGTGTTTCTCACATCGTTTCTTCTGCATTTTTTGGTCTCTTGACATATAAGTAAATCTTTTCCAGCATTCTGAGATGCGAGTTACAATATTTTTTTCTAGAGTGAGCTTTTAAAATTCAGCTTTATTATATGACTTTACAGCAGCTAGTCCTAAAGAACATGTAGAAAGTTTTGCTTTTGAAAATTAAGCCAGTGAAATTCATTACAGCGCTCGGATATACTGAACTGCACAGTACATACAGAATCTCAAGTCTGTTCAATACAAAACCCATATTTAAGAAAATGACGCCTGTGTTTAAGACACTAATCAATGTATAGACATAATTGCATACAAATGGCATTTCTGTGTGTCACATTTACCATTACAGGGTCAACGTTTTCAGTGATTTTTTTTTTTTTAAATTTTTTTTTTTTTTTAATGAGGTGGAGCATGCCTGCCTGTGTGTGGGAAGACTCGCTTGCCTTTGCCAGCAAAAGCAGGTGGTGTTCTCCCACCAGCCACGAGTTTGTTTGGGATGAGTAGCGTAGTGACTAACCATCCACCAGCCTTCCTCTTCAAACGGGCTGAGAGCCACCTGGCCCTTCTCCAAAAGTCTGTACTGATTCAGCACATCTCTGCAGCAGCCAGAAGCATCCCCCTTCGGTAGTGTAGGCTGGTGAGCGGGTGGCGGGCTCTACCTCTCCTTTTTACTCTGATGTCCCATCAAAGTAAAAATCTTGGTGCTTGGGCTGTTACCGTGGCCTTGGCCTAGTATATTGAAATGCTCTGAGATGAAAACAGTGGTCAAGAGCTCCGTTTGTCAGGAATGATGAACTTCCTCACGTTTGCATAGGAGCAGAGCTCACTTGGCTGCCTGTATAATGCTGTTAGGAGGATGCTCCACATCAGTAGGGCGAGACCTCAAGTATGTACCAGCCTTTCCTCTGCCTAAGCTTCACTATCTGCGGAGTCACCTGGTTCTCCCAAACTAGAGCTAGAGAGCGCTACAACAAGGTCTGTGTGCATAACTGAATGAGCTTGACTGAAAGTTGAAGAACCACACGACTGTGACAGCATAGGCATATCTTTGGGAGACAAGTCCTAGATTACGTTAGCTGCAGACTTTGATAAATTTTTACAAATTGCTGCAAGAAGTCTTGTTCTTTTTCTGTCTTTTCTTACTTGAACGCATCCATTTGAAACCGAGGACTGAGTCAGGCAGGCCACAGCAAAACAAAATGCCCTCTTTTAGGGCGTTTTCTCCTGGCAAGGTATTTATCATCTTCAGTTTTATCAGAAGATGATACAGAGCCTCACTCCAGCAAACCATATGTCTGGAGATAAGCCCGAGTTATCACCAAGGACCCAAGAGTGATTATTCGTATCCCTCAACATGCTATTGGAAGATGCTCAAATGTGGTAATGAAGGTGATATAAGAATAGCGTCTTATCAAGCTCCTGTTTAATTTTTAAAGCTGATTTCTCAAGTATGTGCTGGTGGGAAGGTAGTAGCAAGTTTACGCTCCCTTTTTACTTAAATGTAAGTTCATCTGCTCAAGGTGTAAGTTCATCTGTTATGAATTGTTCTCCTTTATGTCTTTCCTTGCAGTATCTTTCTTACCTGTTGTTGTCAGTTTATTCTCTGAATGCCTTTGAATTTGAGCTCACAACAAAATCCTTACTTGGTTTTCTTTTTTTTTTTCTTTTTTCTGTCTCTTTCTAAGCTAGAGCTGCACATAAGAAAGGATCTTATTTTCTGATTTTCTATATGCTTTGTGTATCTACAGATGTGGCGTATTCATTCAAAATCTACTAAAACTGCATGTGGGAAGTTGAAATCGAAGAGGTTTGCATTAACAGTAAAGGGTCAAATTCAGCACTGATATGAAGCAAATTAAGTTAATATCCTAATTTAAGAGTGGCATGATACTATGGCTTCCATACGCTTTCTGCTTATGAAGCTCCCTGCATTGGCATGGTGCATTGCTTTAAAGAAGTCTTCTGCTTCCCAGTGCCAATTCCAGGGAATGCTGTCTGTTCATAATTCAAGGAGCAGTTCTGCTTGCTGTGTTGAACAAGTCTCTGTACTGTAGTGTGTAAGGGGTTTGTTTACGCAGGCTGCCTGGAAAGCAGAAGGCAGCCTTTTAAACAGAACCATCAGGTAGTGCAGACTCTGGGGAGATCCATGTGCCACCTTTTCCCTCAGCGTTGTGTTTCTGTGGTCTCCCAATACTCTATTTTATACATCAAAATCTTTTCGGAGTGGTTCTTTAACTAAAACCTCAAAACTCAACTTTTAATAACGGGCTTGACACATAATTTGGAGTTTGTAATTTTGCGCTTAAGTTGCGTTTTGCCTTCCTTACGAAAGAAAATAAATTTTTGAACAATTAGTGGTATTTTGTTTTACTGTATTATAAGATACTGTTAGGGTTCTCTTCAGTGTTAGGATGGCAGGCAGGGTCAAATCATAGCTAAAGAAGAAACGGTGTATTCAGGAGTCTGGCATCTGGCCTCTTGAAAAATTCCACTTTAGTTTCATGATATCTTGCTACCTATACCTTTCTTATTTTTTAAGAAAAACCTGAAAAATCACCAGTTTTATCTGTGAGGTCTCGTGCTATAAATATCCTGACTTTGTAGCAGAGTATAACTTCGTTTTCACAGAGATTTTGGAATGTTTATTATGCCTGTCTTTTTGTGCCTAATGACATAGCTTGAGTTCAGCAAAGTGTCTAAAACAAGATTAAGGTAAATTCCTCATTGACACAAGAAAAATAGAGAACCCTTTGGGGAGTGAGAAAGCCAAAGGTCTTTTACTGAGAATTTTGGTTTTTATTTGACCAGTCTATAATATCAAACATACTGTAACTATTCAGACTTTTTGAGTATTCTATAATTTCAAAAATTCATTGAAACTATTTTGGCGTTGGTAGTATCAATGAGATGATGCTTTTCCAAATAATATTTCTACGCATCTACCATTTTGTATGTACGCCCCTTTTATAAGTTAGTTGTTACTTGTTTAAAGTTAGTACAGGGTTTATTTGAAGGTACAGAGATCCCCAAAAGTGGGGATAAATGTTTTCTAAATGTTTTGTGGGTTGTAGTAATTATCTATAAATCAGTCATAATCCCTCTTAAAAAAAAAAGTTTTAAACTGATAAATAAAAAATTCAACATTATTTTAAAACTTCTATGTCTGAAAGGGATGTTTTCGGTTTTCTTGGTGGCTGTGTATTTCTTCTGTTAGAGCAGAAGTAAATTTCCTTCAGCATCTGTACAAGAGTATCTTTAGGTATTTAAAATTTAAAACAAAATGCTGGCCCTTCAGAATCCCAAGCAGTGTTCTGTTTTTATAAAATACACAGCCTTTCAGGTAGGTATAATATTTTGCACGTATATTTTACTGTCATCGGAGTACCTCATAAAATCTCCTAGTTTCTGTCATTCAGTGTAGACTCTTGTAAGAGTAGTAGCAACATAAATAACCACTTAATTGTTTTTTATCACCATGCAGTGAAGAGGGTATCATAAGATCTATTACAAGATACAAAGGACAGGTTATCCTTCAGTAAATGAAACCTGTGTTTTTATGCAGTAGCATAGCAGGACTCATTTTGTTGGGTTTAGTGTGTCTGTGTTGTCATGCTGAAGCACCTCCAGTTTCAAGTTCTGCTCCTTCATGCACAGCAAGTCGCTCCACAGGTGAGAATAAAACCTGCAGAACATGTTCACTTCCTTGATGGTAGCAAAGGCAGGAAAAAAATTTGTTTCGGAATCAGAGCAGAATTTACTAACTTAATAAATGGCTGCATCTGATCTTCCTTAAATCATTGCCAGAAGAGGGCACAGCATGTTGACTTATTCCGTCCATGGATGCCTCATGTGTTCACCTATAGCTCCCTGGCTGGAGCATCGCCTGGGGGGCCAACCTAGCTCTGTGTTTGGAAACGGGGTCATACTGCACACACACCCATGCACACCCCCTGCAGCTTTTTGGTGGGTGTTGAGAAAGTCTCTCCAGGGTCCCTTGTTTCATCAGATGTGCCTATATAACCCTGTAGTCTTTGTAAATAGTACCCACCACCCGCTTGGATGAGGTCTGGGCTATAAGAGCTCTAGTTGATGCTCACCTGTGTTGTCAGTTCTTGTAGATCCAGCAGGATTACTGTTCTTATCTCCTGAGCTTATCGGTCCAGAGAAAATTGTTAGGAATTACCTTCTTGGCACAAACTTTCCCTCCCGGCTCAGCATGCTGTTTCTGTGGTAACTGTTCCTCCATCCATCCTATAGGTGCCTATAGAACCTCTTCACACAGGCTCACCAGAGGGGCCTGGTATGACATGATGCCATATCTGATAACTGATTGCCCATAAATTACAACTATAGTTGTTTGTGTTATAGCTAGTAATTATTATTGGTAGCATACCCTTGCCTTCCTCATTAGCAATTAGCATTTTATTTATTTACATTATTATTTTAGTTATTTAACCTATCATTTGAATTCATTCCAACATGTGACTATATTACCAACAGTTACAGACAGAAAAATAACAGTTTTGTTTCTGGTAATATGATCAGAAGGCAAAGGCCAACTAAAATATGAATTTATCACATTCAGTCTTGAGCTTGGCATAAATGTGTGTATTTAAACCTACAGCTTTTGTAAAAGAATATCCTTGAGAGCAGTTTACTGTTTCAAAATTGCTGGAATGGGTTTATGAGAATAGTTTTCTTTTTCATTTCTACTTACTAGCAAACTAGATTAAGTTTTTATTTTAATGTGTTTCCACAGGTGTATCTTGAAAGACTTTTAACTTATGCAGAGATAGATATTTGTCCAGCAAACTGGAAGCGAATTGTACTGGGTGCAATTCTACTGGCATCCAAAGTTTGGGACGACCAGGCAGTGTGGAACGTGGATTACTGCCAGATCCTGAAAGAGATCACGGTTGAAGACATGTGAGTGCAGTATGTTTATCTTGGTCAATGAATGCCAAGATCTGTGTGTGTAAGGGGGACGGGAAGGTCTCTCATAAATTATGTAAAGTTTGTATATCTGCGCTGTATCTAAACATGGTGGATGCTGATAGATGGCATGAGGTCTACTTTACAGTTGCCTGTATAGAAGACATGAATTATTTTTGTTTTCTGGTTGAAGTCTGTTTTACCACTGGTTGTTCATGCGCAGTGATGAAAACAGAACTGCAGAATATTTAAATGTATGACTTGACAAAAAAATCCCGCATCCAAGGAGCCTGCACGTATTCACTTCTGCAGCATTTATTGTCGTGCCACTTCTCCATGTAGACAGTAAGGCAGGAAAAAAAATTGTAGTGATCCTAATGACCCTTAGATGATCACACACTTATTTATTGCCATTATTCAAAATTAGTGCTTTCGGGTTTTTTTTCCCCCCTGTATCTTGCTGATCCTTCGTTTCCAAGATGTTAAAAATCTGGTATTTTAACTTGCAAAGAGAAATTTCCATTTTCCATTTTTTTATCTGATGGCATTCTTAAGAAGTACATATTGTAACAGCACAGAGAGCTGTGGTATCTGGCTGGATAGTCCCGACTCATATTAGGAGTATATTCCAACAGTAATAAAAAGAACTGTAATAGGAACAAACACAATTAAGATCTTAATGTTTACAGCTACTAAAGCGAATGCTCATTTCACTGGATAGCCCAGTGCTTTTTTTGTCTGCTTGGCTAGCAGGCGTTGCGTGTATCGGCTGAAGCGCCTGGGGTGTGTCTCACCTACGTGTTCGGGGCTGTGGCGTGCCGCGCACGCTTGCCGCCGTGCCCTTACCTGAGCTGGCGCGTGTGCGAGGGCGGCACTGAAAGGGCTGCGGCTGGAACTGGCGCTGGGATGGTGCCGGGGGGACGGGTGCCTTGACAGGCCACTGCGGCTCGTGCATTCGGAGAGTGGCCTTTTCCGTCTACTGGTGCACCCCCTTTTCATAAGAAGTAACAACAATAAAATTATTAAAATACATTATGGTACAGTATCTGTGTGTTTCAGGGCTCTTGCAGCAGGGCTAAGCATCTGTAATAAGAAGTGTGTAGACTTGTCTCTGCTTCAGCTCACGTGAGTCAGGATCGCAGCCGCCGAAGAGAGTTTGTTGTGGATGACCACTCTGGGAGGAGGGGAGAGGGAAGGGCTGAAGTAGAGGAGAAGAAATGTTTATACAGACAGAATGGTTTTTGGCTCACAGTTTGCAATCCCAAAGCAGTGGAAGGCCAAGCATTTTGGCTAAAGCAGCCCTAATTTAGTTTCTTAAATAGTTGCTGTTTGTCAGATTTATAGCTGGTCTAAAAATGATCTGTAAGGGAAAGGTTGAATGTTAGGAGTCAGCTGATCGCTTTAAATTAAGCTTGCTCATACACCACTAGATAAGACTTATAAATTGTGAGTAGCTGCCATTATCTCTAAATCTTGTATTAACAAGCAATTTGTAATAAGGTGGGTTATTTTTCCCCCGAGTCAAAGTGAAAAACCCAAAGCTTGCATTGCTGTCATATGCTGCAGGTACTTTCATTAGTTTGGGGGAAAACTCTCATTTCAAAAATAGAGGTGGGAAATGCCACATAATGCTGCTTTAAGGATGGTTCATGATACTTTTTGGACATCATCTAGAGAGAATGTGATTTCCAAAATAAAAGGGGGGTTAGAGAGGACAAGAACCTAAAGTCAGGCCCTTCACATTTCTGCAATATTACTCCATGCAGAACATTTTGATAATGCTTCCTTGACTGTTTTGAGTGTTTCCTAAATTATTTTGCTAAGCTACTTTTCCCTTGATCCTTTTCTCATGCTGTTGGGTATTCAGTAAGGGCCTCCCTCCATTCACTCCTGCTCCAAGGCAAATCCAGGAGCTTTTAAAGTATTTCTGAAGCTGGGACATGCAGCTTGAGGCAGACTGACAGGCTTGGCTGTGCCATGTGACAGTATTAATCAGGAACAGTTATAAATATGAGTTTTGAAATTGCTGATTCTTAGGGCTTTTCTGAAGGCAGGTGATGAGGCATACTGTGATGGTATGAAAGGAAACAAAAAAAAAAA